GCTCTATGTCTCCAACAGTTTTTGAATGTTTACTTCTCATCTTAGACTTACATACGGCTGTACTGCAGCAACATACTGATTCATGCAGACTCAATACAGTGCATATAAAGCAGGGGTCACCAATGCAGTGCCCACGGGCACCGAGGGTCCCTCAAGAACTGTATGGGGTGCCCTAAGTGTCAACAAATAACCTCTTTATTGCTCTTCTTTTTCTAATAATTTAATGAGCATTTCATATATAGCATTTAAACATTTACAGCAATTTTAAAATAAAAATATTGAAAAGAAAATTAGAAATTAAAAGAAACAATCAAGATATATTTATGTATGAGGTTTAGGTGACCCCTCCAGTTGATAGCTCAGTATTGGTAGCCCTTCCTTTGACTCAGTAACCATGAAGTAAAAATGCTGGTGACCCCTGATATAAAGTATCCCAGAATTTCCTTTTATTTTGAAAACAACAGAAATTTTTTTTTTCACTTCAAAATTTTGCTCTTTTTTGTGTTGATATATAGCACATTTCAAAGAAGGTTTGTAACTGACATGACAAAATAATAAAAATAAAGTTTGAGAGAAATTAAAACTTAAGGACATGTAGTTTATATAGAATTTGCTGTTAATATTTTCTCTTCCACTCCTTATGTACAAAACCAAGAAAATACAGTTGACAGATGTCAATATGGATTTTTTTTTTTTTTTTACAGAGAGATAACTGTTTCCAATTGATTGTGACTATCCTCTGCAATCGACAAAAACTTGCTTCATTATTGCCACTCTATTTACCTCCCACTACTTGCACCTCACTGCTGACAAATCCACACAACTATGTGGGACACAAAGGCTTGGATTTAGCTGCCGGGCCAAAGTTAGGGATGGGCCGAGTATAGAGGGGCAGCAGGGCCAGCATGGAAATTTCTGCTGCTTTTGACACAACCCAGATCACAGACGAATCAAAACAACTGCCCGTATCACCCTGTCAAACTCCCCCTTTCTCTCCTGCCGCAGCCAACATGACCAATGACCAGTCATCACTTTTATGCAGGAAATGCAGCCAGATCAGGACAAGCCAGAGGTGTTGGTCAGAGGAGAGGCTTGTCTGGGCAGAGTGGGCCTATTGTTGCAAAACAGCTGACAGCTTGGATCTGATCTCATTTGATAAGCAAAAGTATTGACAGATCTAATTTAAACAGCTTGTGGGGGACTTTTGATGCTGATCTGTCCTGATTGGGCAAGTTTCTACAATAATGCATCACTAAAGTGATGGAAGGGCCAATTTGAAGGCCCTTAAATGTTGCCTGATAAGTTCATATAATTCACAGCCTGCTACAAATGCAATAATATATTGTATACGGTCATATGTAAGAAAATAAGAATATGCCTTAGGATGATGTTTGTGAGACTAACAGTACCTTTTAAAAATTACAACCATCATGCAGGTTTGAAAATAAATCAAGCCCACATTTCTGTACTAAAGATATATTTCATTGGTCTGATGAAACATACGTATACTAAATGTTTCACTTTCATTAGCTTTTAATTATCAGTGATAATTAACATGAAAATAGGCTTAAAAGCTACTGTGAGCTATTACTGATGTAAATGAACTTTTGAACAATACAATCTTAAACATGACTGTGTTGGTAAAATCCATTTGTTCAACTATCTATCCTTTCTTAAATGCATCCATTGATGATAGATGGTTGGCCAGATAGATGGATGGCCGGACGGACGGACGGATGGACGGACAGATGGATGGATGGATGGAAGACTTGTCTGGTACTCTGACCTATTTACTAGGATGCACCAATTGCAGAGTCATCCAAGTATTTCTACAGATGACAAGACTCTGAAGCAACCTAATATATTTCATCAGTGTTTCCCATTAGGTAAAAATAAGTGAATATACAATAAAACAGAAAAGCATAAAAACGAGAATTAGTGAGGTCTTTGACACATGGATTGTTATTGAGCATTATAGCATTACTGTCACACAGACAGTATTTTAACACCGCATGCCTTTTTTCCTGTAACCGAGTTTAACCTGCCCCATTCCAAAGGGTTAAGATTTTATATGGCATGACAGGGGAAACGTGCATCTGGAGGGACTGTTGGGGCTTTACGAAGCATCACATCCATCCATTTGTCTGTCTTTGCTTCCATCCTTCTCTCAATCTATCTGTCCATTTATTCATCATGGCAGATAAAGGGCTGACATATTCATACTAAAGCAACTGTGACCTTTAAATCTGTTTTCCATTTGCGCTTTAAGATACCAAAAATAGCTCAGCATGTATGGAAATGTGTTTACTCTTTAAGAGTCAAACAAAAAATGCAAAAGGCTTTAAACAACAGCTTAGCTTACAAAAGGTTTTTTTTTTTTTTATATTTGAACAATTAATGACCAAACATCCTTAAGCTATATTTTCTATATCAAGTATCATATACTTCTGGAACAAGCTCCTATCCTACTTCTAACCTCACCTTACATAAAATACAATAACAGTGTATGAATCATAGCTGGAGTAAAGTTTTACATGTAACTATAAATCACTAATATCAATGTAACATCTGTGAAATCATAAGAGAAATGCATAATATGGGCCCTAAGGTAACTACTGTAATTATCTTTTACAGTGGCAAAGCATCAATGCATGCCTCATAAAAATATCTAATACTTTTTACATTTCCTGATGAAACTAACCTACTGGATATGATTTAACTGTTTAAGTCAAGACCTATCTGGCCAGTTTAGGTATTTTTTTTGTCTATTTTTGGGTGATTTTGGCGAGCCTGTATGAATGCAGCCCGGTTCCCTCTTTTTATCCAACACGAGGTTAATTTCTTGCTGTTGTTGCCATTCAGCTTTGTTATATATTCAGTTTAATTCATAAATAATTTACTAATCCCAAATGGAAACTAAATGTTGCAGTAAGTTGTATGCTATTTCTTTAAACAGGTGTTGTAGGTGTTGATGGCTGTATGAAGGAAGGAACGTCTGTAGCGGTCTGTGTTGCAGCAGATCTGGAGAACCCTCATTCTTACCCATAGTTTTAATCACTTTATGAGGAATTATTATTTCTAAACTAGTATTCTTATTTTCTTACATATGACTGTAACAAAAGTAATTTCCCTCTGGGATTATTAAAGTATTTCTGATTCTGATAGTCTCCAGAGGTTCTATGAGAGTTCCCAGAACATAGAGAGCCTTCTTAATTTTTATTCAGGGATAATATTCAGCACACCAGGGTTATATCAAGTGGTTACTTAACCTGCTGCCGATCATCATCCCAAACTAGTCTATCCATTCTCCTTTGCACTGAGTCTTCAATTAAGGATTTTCTTAATTCTGAACAGCTGCCTCATTGTGGATTATTATTATATATAGAAAGTTGTATGTCACAATCTAATTAGATCAACACTTATCAAAACACAAACCAGCCCGCATGGCTTCAGTCATGTTACATTCACCATCGGTATCATCACTCCTTGTAGCCTGACTTCCTGCCCCATGACTTGCTAATTTGGGGTTTGTGCGTTCAACTTATTGAATAGGTTTAGCTGTTAAGTGATCAGGGTCTGTAAAATGATGTGAAAGAAGCATAATTTACAATCTAAAACTAAAAAACCTGCAGTGCTTTAGTTGTTACCCTGTGTTCTTTCATGTTTTCATAATTTAGTCTTTGATTAACTCTTGGAGTTATTTAAATATAGGTTGAACGCTGTGGGACTGTTTACCAATATCCATATATCCAGTTGTAGGTAGTGGTTCATGCTGTGTTTTGAAGGAATACTATAAATGGCTTTGTAAGCCTTTTTTTTTTTTTGCAAATATTTATCTGTGATTTCGTTTCTTTTTTTTTTTTTTTGGGTTTGATGTGTTGCCTTTAGAGATCTTCTAGCCAACTTCATGTTTCCAGAGATGTTCTATTTAACTCATTTCATGAGTATACAGCATTCAGGCTGTTCCTCATAAAACCTAGAACCTATCAGCTGTGATCAATAACAATTACCAGATTTAGAAATATTGCATGATTTTTTGTTTGTTTTTATGTACAGCACATTGGCAAACATGTTTTTGTTGTTAAATATACTTCATACATAAAGTGGATTGGATTGGATTTGATGGAGCCAATATATAAATTATTTTTTTGTTTCCTTGGGTTTATTTTATCATGATAAAAACTGACCCATAATTTTTATTCTACTTCATTTTAGTCATGTTTGCCCCAATTAAATGATGTACTGAAGTCAACAAAATAAACACCAACAGAAGTAAACAAAAGGAGGTTTTTTTGTAAGACATGAAACAATTATCTGTTTAAAACAGGCAATGGATGGAGCAGGATTTTTTTTTCTTCCCTGATCTCAAATTAATTGATAAGTACCTCACAAATAGTTGTTATAAAACCATATCCTATTACCTACAGATCATGATCTACTTTAATTTGCTTTGCATATTTTCTAACTAGACAACATAAATTGCACATCTTTTTAAATTTGGTCAAGGTCTTTCTGTGAAGAGTATTTCATTATTAACTGTTGGCTTTCAAAATGCATTTATTAAGCTATTTTGGTTTTTACATCCTCTACTACTAACAATGCTGATGAGATGTAGGATTCATGTATGGTGATCAGTTCGATTTAAACACTATTTCTTACCCTTCATTCCCTCTATAAAAGGATAAGAATGCAGCATAAAGGCGATCGACTCTATTAGTCTGCGTTCATCTTTAAGAAATGGAGCCACAGCTTGCAGGTAACCTTGAAATGACCCAAGGCGCGCAGTCAGAGCGCTGAGCTAGGAGCGCATCCACCTGTTCCGTCATCAGAGGAACTATGGGGAGAAAAGCTGCTGCCTTTGCTGTGTAACCACGGCAACTCCTCCCTCTAAACTGAAACATCACCAAAGCCTCCTCTGCGTGAGCCAAGCAGGGGAGGGACACAGGCTGCCTTTTTTTACCTGGATTCTATTAACCTGTTATTGTTAAACCAACCAGATCACGTGCTCAGCCAAGCAAAGAGCAACATCCCCCCCCCTTTTTTTTTTTTTTTTTCTATTGGACAAGAGGAGATTTCTATAATCGTAAAGGATGCTGCTGATCCTGGTGCTGATGCTGCTGTAAGGCGCGCGCACTCAGAGCTCCTCCTCTATCGTTGGCGAGTGGTCACATTTTTCTCTCTCTGCTCAATGAGACCAAGAGGGCACCGGAGAGGATTTCCTAAACTCAACGTGCAGCCCAGCCGCGTGCCTATTTTTTTTCCCTGTCGCCTTTATTAAAGGTAAGGCATGACTCTGGGTGCGCGTCATGCGCCTCACCAACAAGAGGGCACCTTGTTTATGTTTGGCTTTTTTTTTTTTTCTGCTGGGAAGAAATGATCTGAGGGGTTTAATCCGAAAGGGCGAAATTGAAGGGCATACAGGGAGTGGAGTAGGAGAGTTCAGTTGTGAAGGCAGCGAGCATCTCTGAGAAGTCAGATAGTGCGGTCAGGACGCGGGTGTTTATCCGCCTTTACCTACACGCTGCAATCAAGTCATTTCTATAAAGCGCACCGTTTATTTGACAGGTAATGGCAGGAAATGCATTTTTTGTTCTGAAGTAGTTTGCTGATCCGTTCATTCGTTCATGGTCATGCTTTTGCCTGATAAGTTTCTCTCTGCATCATATCAAGATGTGCATATATCATTATGTAGATTTAAATTACTGCTAATTTTAGAGTGCAATGATGTCCTCCCAAAAGATGATAGTCTCTGACCAACCGCTATTAATTATTGTTAAGTTTTGTTATGGTTTATTTGTCTTAATTATTTTTTTTTTTACTCTGTCACATGGAATAATAACATACATTAAATTAATTATTTTTATTAGTGCATATTCAATAGGGATGATAATTCAGGTAGTAGCTTAAAAGTCAGTCTACTTATTTGTCTGTCTGCTTTCTTAGTGTTTCTTTTTTTTTTTTTTTTTACTTAGAAACATGTATTTTTTTTTTTATCTCTTTAAGATATCTTTTTATCTCTGATTTAGACCAGAAAATAAGTTGAAAATGTACAACTCAAATGTAGCCTAAACAGTGACACTGAGTCAGACTTGGTTAAACCTGACAGCTTTTCACGCTTGTTTGATTAAAGTATGGTTGTTGTTATATTGTATCCCACTAAATTAAACATTGATAGAGGTTTTAATATCAATCAGACATAGCATTAGCGGTCTCCGGCTGCTGTAAATACTGTATCCCTTCTCTCATTAAATTTATTCCCAGAGCTAAAATGTACTGGGAATAAATACACATCTATTCACTTTCCGTCATGCTTATCCCTGGGGTCGCAAAGGGATGCTGGTGTCTATCTCCGGCTGTCTACGGGCGAGAGGCGGGGTACACCCTGGACAGGTCGTCAGTCCATCACAGGGCAACACAGAGACAAACAGGACAAACAAGCATTCACACACACACTCACACCTTAGGAGAATTTAGAGAAGCCAATTAATCTAACAGTCATGTTTTTGGACTGGGAGAAAGCCAGAGTACCGGCACAGAACCCACACATGCACGGGGAGAAAAATCAAACTCCATGCAGAAAGATACCGGGCTGGGAATGGGAGCTGCAAACTTCTTGCTGCAAAGCAGCAGTCCTACCCACTGAAAAACCTTGGTTGGCAATGACTCTGTTGCCAATTAATCACTCCTTGACCACTTTTGATAAAGATGCAGTTTCGAAGATAGCTACTCTGCCACAGCTTTCAAACCAAGCATGATCAAGACCTTACTCCTTCCTGTTTTTTTCCTGCTTCTTAAGCATCAATTTCAAGGATGAACTGTTTACTTGTTCCTTGATGCCTTTTTAACAATATTTTCATTTACACTATATAGCAAAAAAGTAAATAATTTATTGTTTAGAATTAAAATAAACAAAGTTTGTCCTTTTTTTCTGCTTAATACCATCTTCTGCTGGTTATTGTCAGGGTCATTGGGAGCTGGTATATATCTCCTGCAGTCTATGGGCGAGAAGCAGCCCATCGCAGGGCAATGCATTGACACGAAACCGTACACACACACAATCATACCTAAGGGCAATTTAGATATGTCAATCCAAATCCATGCAGAAAAACACCCTGGGCTGTTTAGGAGGGCTTAGATGATGATGTTTTAACTTTGTAAGCATCTGATTGGTTAATCCCCTACATTTTAGGTAAAAAGGTCAACCTTATATTTTAAGGTTACACCTCAAGCACAATCCTTGGGTAAAAGCAGTTGATTCGTCATAGAAAATCATTTCTAGATCCCTGAAGGTGTCATGTTTGTCTGGCCACACAGTTAAATGTGAGTTTAAACATCATGGCCATCTTTCACCAACAAAGGGAAGGCATCCCGTGTCATAGAAAATAATGCGTTTTAGCATGAAACTTGTATATCAACCCTAGAACAAAAAGAAAATGTTATAAACAGATGTTGGCTAGAAAATGGTTAAAGATTGATTATCCTAACTAAATCTATTCCTGTTTTAGCATGGATAGAAAGCCGTTCAGACAGAAGACAAATGCGACCTAGACCTAGATCATGGAAGTCATAACGACCCAATTCTGTTCTTTTTTCACCTTTAAGAAAATCACATCGGAGCCACTTTCATATGTGGTACTGAATTGGATTCAAAAGCAATAGATTTTTAAAGCCTCAGCAGTGTCAACGTTCATGTCGTATTTCGTACAATATTTATGCCAGGCTCCCGGCTCCTATGTACCACACATCCACATGGTTTTTTCTACATCACTAGCAGTTTTATTTCTAATAAAGACCTTGTTAATAGCTGTACTTTTTTTTTTTATTTCCTGATCTTGATATAATGTAATCATTATGTTTTCGACCCAATGCTTAACAGACATGAATACTTCCTTAAAAATTGCGCTGAATTGTGATGACTAAAGTCTAAAGTCTCCTTCTATGCAATAAGGTTGCTTTGAGGTTGTGAACTGCTAGCCATTAATATCACACTGTGTCGTAATTTAGCATCAATTCACGTTTTATAACCTTTGTCAAAGAGAAAGAAACCCTTTCTCCAAGCTCCAAAAACTAGATTCCCCTTTGTAAATGCACTCGGTAACAAAGACCTTCATTTTTTGAGACATGTATAGGAGTATGAAGAAGGGGTGAAGTCTAGAAGCCTGAGATTATCATTGCTTTGATGTGAAACTACCTTCAAGTGTTTGTGTTTTGTACAATGGAGGACTGGTACACTTCTTACATTATAAGGAAAGAATATTATGTGGAAATATTGAATAAGTATCTTAAGATATCATAAAGTGATAACCTTTTAAACACTAAAAGGTCGTTCTAATTGACAATGACCCCAAAGTGGCCTACATACAGCAAAGTCAATGTTTTAGAGTGTCCATCACAAATCTCTGCTCTAGATACCATAGTACGTATATGCACAGCTTTAACAAGGTTTTAATAGGCCAAACCTGATGTGGTTTCATGTGGTTTTACCTGTATATATATCCAACCCATTCGGTAGTGTACCATGATGAGAAGATAATAAGTCAGTGTCTTTCAATGGTCACAATGTTGTACATGGGTGGTGTGTAAAGCTGGAGTACAGGGTTATTTTTGTATATGTTCTAAACTGATTTAGGATTACGGCATTCACTTTCCTCCTAATCAGGTGTTGACATTCTTTTCTATTCTTTCATTCTTATCTAGTGGAGCCTAATATGATGACATCATTTGGTAAACTGGATCCTGTACAGCACTGGAAACCTTCTCATCTTATTTGAATCTGAGCGCAATACAATGTTTTGCTTCCCAACGTTCCAAGCAACCTGTTAAGAACAAGGACACTGAGAGCTGCACCAACATGGCTTCAGATCAGCCTGACATGGACTCCCCGGAGAAGTGGTCTACAGAAGATCCAGGCTGTAAGCAGCTGGGCCGAAGGTATATGCGGAAAAAGCTCCGACCTGTGCGGGTTTTGGGGTTGGTCTTCAGCCTGTTGGCTTTAAGTGCCGTCTCCATCAGTGCCTTGAGCAGAAGTTCAGATGGGCTCAACAAGCCGTTGTTCCCCCAGGTGGCTCTTCAGGAGTCGGCCCCGCACAGGACCCTACTTTTCACACCACAGCAGGGGGATCAAAATGTGTCCGTTGACATGCCCATAGCCATGAAATCCACAGCTGACAATGAAACACAGGGGGAGTACCCGCGGGACCTTTTTACGCGTGAAGAGAGGCGCAATGGAGCAGTGGTCCTCCACATGTTTGGCATGATCTACATGTTCATTGCCTTAGCCATCGTGTGCGATGAGTTCTTTGTTCCAGCGTTGACGGTGATCACAGAGAAGCTCTCCATCTCAGACGATGTGGCAGGTGCCACCTTCATGGCAGCAGGCGGTTCAGCACCAGAGCTCTTCACCTCCATCATTGGAGTCTTCATCTCGCACAGCAATGTGGGCATCGGCACCATCGTAGGCTCAGCAGTCTTTAACATCCTTTTTGTCATAGGGATGTGCGCCATCTTCTCTAAAGAGATTCTTAATCTGACATGGTGGCCTCTTTTCCGAGATGTTTCTTTCTATATCCTGGATCTGATCATGCTCATCATTTTCTTTTTGGATAATGTCATCTCCATCTGGGAAAGTATCACGCTGCTCTCCGCCTATGCCGCCTATGTAGTGTTCATGAAGTTCAACAGCACAGTCGAGGGCTTTGTCAAGGGTTGCATGCACAAGAACCAAGTGGTGGAAGTGGAGGTACAGCCAAAGGTGAGTTAAATATATCATTTTATTTAAAATGTTACAGTGTTGGTCATTTCACCCCAACATCATTTTGTACTTTAGCAGTTGGCTGCATGTTTCCTACTGACCTTACAACATACAATTCCATTAATTTGCATCAAAGATTTGTGCATTTGAGAAATATTTCATTATTAGTAAAATTGTTAATCTAAATACAATAATACATAAGATTCATTTATTAAGTATAGATGTGTATAGCAATGTGTAAGCAGTGGGGCAAGAGGTGAGTATGCACTATATTCGGTGCAAAGTGTCGCCACGCTCTATGGGGCGCCAAAGCTATGGCTGGAAAATCATTTCTAGTCAGCCATTTCTGCAAGTAACAGCTACAGAGGGGTCTTTGGAAACATGATATCATCTGATAACACTTAAAATTGGATATAATCTGATGACAGGTAGCTAAAGAAGGATAGGAGAAAGTAGGGGAGAGACAAAAAAAACAGATTTTGTAAGTACTAAACAAAAAAATAACAGTAGAGGGAGCAGGGTGAAGAGATGTCAGTGATTAAAAAGAACCTTTAGAAGTGATTGAAAGGCAGAAAGTGATTTATGTCAGTCTATCAAAAGGGCGGAGAAAATAAAAGCTAAAGCTGCCATTTATAAAATCACACATTACAGTTGTCTTGCAACTGGGGACCTTCTTTCCAGACCCCTAAAAAACTGATTCTAGAGCTGCTCCTGGATTTATTTGAAAAATACTGTTTTTAGGATGCTGAAAACCTATATGGCTTAACGGTCCAGGATCCGTTACAAAATCTGTCTGCATTAAGGCGAAAAGCGTGAAAAAGGTCTATTATAACTATTGACACTCATCTGATTTAATCTCTGAGTAAAAGTCACATGCAAAAGTGTGATCCCTCAAAATTAGGGTTGAGAACCTTTTAGGTGTTTTTTTTCTTTTTTTTCTTGTTTTTTTTGTTGTTTTGTTTTAAAGAAAAAAAATATGTGTATTTCTATGGGAGTGGACATTAGTAGATATATCCATAAATAAGGAGGAGGTGACGGGATTCTGTGTTTTGCTCATGAAGGAATTCGAGTTAGGATAAAACATTAAAATTACAAAGAGTATAATTGTCACCTTGCTCAAGCATGGACCATTGTGAATTTAATTTGGCTATGTTAAGTCCACGTGGATTTATAAATCTTTTTTTAAAAAGCAACCCAAAAAAAGGTCAAAAAAAAAAACTGTGATCCCTAGGACTACCCTACTGATCAGTAAATATAGCAGATCATGACAATCATCTTGAGATTATTTTTTGTTTAGACAGTAATTGTTTCATTAACTAGATGGTCAAAATCATCAAAAAATGAAAGTGAGATCACTTTGGAAAAAACAGGATAAATATGTCTTCACAGAGATAGTGCTGATATCCAACAAGGACAACATTTTAAATATACGAATTGTGGTTTGCCTGCTGTGTTTTCAAAAACTGTTTGTTGCGGCCCTTTGTGTTAGTGTTGTATGTTTGTATGAAATTGAAAGTTGACCCCTTTAAACATTTTATGTACTTAATTTGAGATTGGTTTATCTTTAGTGAACAAATAACAAAGCCAGTTGTTTAGTATAGAACTCCAAAGATCTTCATCTCTCAGATCCCCTCTACTTGATCAGGGAGTGTGTATCAGCAGCTGCCAAACACGCGCATTGCTCATATCCCTTCCCTCGTTACATTTGAAACAACAGAAAGTCAAGAATGGAGTCACACAGATCATTTTACATCAATGGTCGCCTCTACACTGCTGTGAGGAGCTGGCAAACAGTATTCCACTGTGAGATTAATAAAACACAGTGAAATACAGAATTCTGGGTTAAGCTCTACACATTATGTCTCAGTCTGACAAACAAATCCCTTAGAATATCTGGGGCCGACTTTAACCCCCTCTGTTAGACATTTTCCTCATAGCTCGTTTGACGAGGTCAATCAAATAGTCTGTTTTTGTCTTATTCCTTCATGCTTTAATGGTATGTGGATTTTCCTCTTGATCCATGTTTAATTTCTTGAGAAAGAAAGGAAGCAAAATGTTGATCCTGTCAGTCAGAAATAGCATCATTCTCTTCCTTCAGCTGACACAGACCTCCTCAATGACACTCGAGGGCAAAAGACACCGCAGTGCAATTTGATACTGGTGCGGAGGATTATCCTAACGGATTTTCCTTTGTGACAAGGGATGGAAATTAAATTTTAGAAAGTTGCATTTTAGAACTGTCATTAAATTTGGATTTATTTTAAGTACATGAAGGATTGTTTTTCTTTTCTTTTTTTTTTGACAGCAGGTTACGCAATGAAAAACCCTCTGGAGGAAGCCAATAGTACCATATGGTGCACAGCTTTGTCAGTTTTACCTTTTCGCCCTGTTTTTTTTGGATTTTCCACAAAGATAGATAGATAGATAGATAGATAGATAGATAGATAGATAGATAGATAGATAGATAGAT